AAAAAAAAAAAGGAAAGCTAAAAAAGCAAAATTCCCAACAAATCCCCACCTATCCCTGCCTGCAGGGGTGAGGATGGCCAAAAACCGTAGTGGGTGGGTGGTGGTGTAAAAACCAGACTGGACTGGCCAATTCAGCCAGGAAACCAAAAACCAGTTTGGCCATATAGTAAGAACCATATATACGAAAGCTGGTGGAAAAATCAGTCAACTGACTGGTCCAACTGGAAACTGGTGAATCGGCCGGAGGTTTACTGGTTTTCTCAGTTCGTCTTTTCAGAGGAGAGATGTAAACATATTCATAACAGAATTAGCCTCTGATCAACACACTAACTACAAAATAACAAAGGTGCTTAATATGACCTATGCTGGCATGACAACTGCCTTGGTTGAAAATTTCCTATCAAACCCTCAACTCTTAACCTTCATCTGTTCTTTGTCAATGACCGGCCGGTTTAAGAAAACTAGGGGATGGTTGTTTACTGGTTTTCTCAGTTTGTCTTTTCAGAGGAGAGATGTAAGCATATTCACAACAGAATTAGCCTCTGATCAACACACTAACTACAAAGTAACAAAGGTGTTTAATATGACCTATGCTTGCATAACAACTGCCATGGTTGAAAATTTTCTATCAAACCCTCTAACCCTTAGCTCTTAACCTTTACCTTTTCTTGGTCAGTGACCGGCCGGTTTAAGAAAAATGGAGATGGGTGTTGCCAAAATCCACAGGGAGACAGGTGCTGGGTAGGGATAATTTTTTATTTATTTATATTGTTTGATTTCTTTTCTTTTCTTTCTATTCCATTTTTATTAAAATTAATACGTTTACCCATTTTATCTCTCACAACGATACTCCACATACCTTGCACGTGACATTTAAATGGTGAAGTGGATGATTTCTGTCCATTGGGGACCAAGGTGGACCTATTTGCACAAATTTAAAAGTTTCGAGGGACCTCCACTGCAATTGCCCCTTAAATTTATGGCACCTGATCTTTTCCTGTAGTCTAGGATCGTGGTAAACACTGTTTGCTCTGCATTTTAACTTGAATGCAACATTACAGGATAAATTTAGTAATGAAATACAGAAGGGTAAGGCATAAGCAGGCCTTATAGTTGTTCAAACATCAAAGGAGTTCATCTACTTGGTGATGCGATTCAAATATTGTTCTCTATCTGAATGGATTACCAGAAACATGAGATTGAAATTTTAGGCCTTTTGTCTTAAAACTCATCTGCCTCGGCAGATGCTCTCCATCTCGAGCTGGATATTGCATCCCCAGCTTGATCAGAGTGTTTTTGATATGGTAGGCTTCATTTATCACAATATGCTCTTCCCGAGCTCATGGATTTATTACGGAATGATTGCTTTGACATTTGATGACATAAATGATTTGGTTATCTTGTTTGCTATCAATTTAGTTGGTAATGAATTGATTGATGTTTTAGATCTATATCTCGAACACCTTGAATGAGAACTCAAATCTTTTATACTAAATTATTTGTACTTTGCTAATTAAAATTTTAGACTTAAACAAATGGTTGAAAACGTCAAGTGTTTATTTTGTTATTTTCTTTGTTCTCTTTCAAAGTATCTTATTTAACCCACCCACCTTCTGCTAGATTTGAAATATTCTCCTACTGGCATGCAATTGTGTGAAATTTCCACTGACTGATCTATCTTCCTCCTCTACCTACCTGTTTCAGCCTGAGTTTGACATGTATTATTTTAGGCATGCCAGCTTGGTTAAACTTTGATTACCGATAGTGCATGATTTGTTTGTATTGTCTGTATCTGGTTCCTTTTTTTCCTGCATATGTAGTTTCAAAGAGGGCATTAAACAACTAAGAAAATGAACCTACCCACCGTTATGCTTGACATTTAATAAAAATAACCAATTTTCAGATAAATGTTTCTTTTTATAAATTTATCTTCTTAGTTTCTGAAACCTTTGTAAATGAATAAAGAAATGATTACTTTTGGTGGTGGGGTGTTGTTTGGTGTGGTGTGGAGGCGGATCAATACTCAGTAGTATATAAGGCAATTTCGTTTGCGGACCTAGAGAACATAGAAAGCAAGTTTGTCATCCCTACTGCTTCTGGCACGTGCATTTGGTTTTCACCTCAGTGTAGATGTAGGCTTGCTACTCTCATGCATTTGCTACTCTCATGCATTATGTAGCTGCATCTTTCTAGGGGAGATGGCAGAATGGATTGAAGCTATTGCTTGCACTGGTCCTATCACTCGTGTAGGTTTGAAATGGTTAGGCTAAATATGGTTGTGAAGTATGCATCCGCTGAATTTCATTTCTACACTTCTTGGTTGTGAATATAATTACAAGCTCGTCTTACATTTACTGTTGATTCAGGCAATCGCATCAGTGAAATATATATTGCACCTTGTAATGTGTCTGCTGTAGTTGCTGAAATCGAGTTGCTTGATTTATATATCTACTAATTCAGTGAAAGACTTGGTACCCCAAAATTCGGTCAGAATAAGCCAACATAGAGTTTTTTGAATGAAAATTTCGAGGCTAATTAGCACAAAACGTCCCTACCTTTGAGGTTGATTTTGGAAATCGTCTCTACCTTTCATTTCTTGGCATTTATGCTCCTATCTTCAACTTTTTGTGCCCTGAACGTTCTTTTCACAACTTTTTGACGATTTCACCCCTCATTCAATTGAAACATAAAGAAAAGAAAAGAAAAACTAAAGAATTAATTGCAATGATAACGCCAAATTTTTAAAACCTACTTTTCAGTCACAAATACTAATTTTTGCC